TATTTATATCAAATGGCAGGCTATATGATAGTTATCGTTAACCCTTTAGTTGTCTTCATGCTTCACAATGGGAGATGAACATCAAAGTGAAAAAAAGTCGAAAGTGGGGGGGGGGACAGAAGAGTGATTCACAGATGTAGAGGAGACAGACAGACACAAAGGTAGATGAAAGGTGAGGTGAGTACTGTGAAAATTGTCGAATATGGCATGCAATCGGGTCATGGTAGTTTGAAGTCAGAAGTCAACTGCCGTTTTATAGGCTTTTTTGCCGCATGAGTATACGTTGCCCAGGCTGCACCACCTGGAGATAAGTCTATCGCACACCCCGTTTTCTGACAATATGGATTTAGTGGTTATGGGCACAATTTGATGAAATGAAATATCTGCATCTAAGACAAAGATGTTAGTCAAAAGCTTAGCAAAAATATATGTACCTTCCTGATCTCTTTTTTTAAACATTAATTTGCCAATAGCAAAATTGTTCATCTTATGGAGTCACGTGGAAATTGGTTTGTAGGAAGGTGGAATCTTCCCGTTTTGATGCTGAATTTTGATTGACTGAGAGTGGAGAGTTTATCATTACTTTATTGATGTGAGTGGATAAAGTGAAAATTTAGCTTTCTTAGTTTTCGACTTGTGGGCTAGAGAAAAGACGACAAGTTCTAAAGTGATTGATTCTCCCGTCTTGTGGTATCTGAAAGCGTTATATATTCAATTCGAGTCTGGATTTGAGATCTGTTGTGAACGAAATTATTAATTGATATCGATTTTCTCAAACATATCTCATAGCTTCAGAATATTGCGTGTGGGAACCGGCTCCCGTTTCCTATTAATTGCACAAACAGTTTGTTGATAGAAGCTCACTTCTCTGGGTTGATATTTATCTGTCACTCATGTCAAGGATTATTTCGTGTTTACTGCACCCAAAGCCTGGCAACAAAGTTTAATTTGATTGATTAATCATCCGTTTCAGGCACACACTTTTATCATCATTACAAATTCACCATGATTTTAGCACATCAGAGCTCCTTTTTATACGTGCAGCATTAAGTATTTTGGATTAGTGGTGCAATCCCTTTTCTAAAATTTATCTAATTATTATTCAACTCTCAGATCACATTAGTAAATCTCCACGGGTAGAAAGGTTGCATTATTAGGCCTCTATTGGAGGACTCCAATTTTCCATCACTCCTGTGCGCAGTTGGCCATCACGATGGGCATCGAGGTCATGGTGTCTGACACTTCATATGATCTCCGCTCTAACAGCACAGACGCTCAATAGTTGAGAGTTGTCTGTCAATTAGCCTTATACTTACATTCATACATATGACCTCCCCTCCCCTCACCCCCTCCCTCTCTCTCCTCAGTGTGCATCACGCTTGCTTGTGATTGAATGGCTGTGACATGTTACGCTTTAAGGAAAAAATGGCCAATTGATTTGTAATGTGGACATGTGTTGTACAACCCCCTAAGTAAGGAGTATGCACCCAAATCACATTACTTATATGCCCTTTGTTTTGACACTTTTATAGGACAGCCGAGCGCTGACCTTCCGCTTCAAAGGCAAAGAAGATCCATTTGAATACGTTCATAAACTCTCCATTCGAATGTTTGTAAGTCATTTCTATTGGATTAGCCTTCACATGGACGGCACAACTTTGACATCGATTGTTGTTTCCCGATTTTTAGAAATATCCGCCTGCAGATATCCTCACTGCGGGCTACTTGATATCCGAGTTTCGTCCGGATTTGATCGAAGAAATCATGAACTGCATCACTCCGGAGAACTTTAGGTGGGAGCTTATTTTTTTTTAAAAAAAGGATTGGACGGGGGGATATGATATGTATCATGGCGCAATTAACTAACTAACTAACACATTTTTATTCTTACTTCGCACAGATACTTTATCGTTAGCAAGAAGGTTGCAGATTCTTGCGATAGCATTGAACAGTACTACAAGACTCCATATGGTTGTGAACCTATTCCGCAGGAAAAAATTGAGGTGAGTCCAGTGATGGTATTAAAATCAAAAGCTCGCTATTGGCAGGGAATTATATGACCGTCTACACTAATTCTTTGTTCGATTCGCATAAGTGATTTGAAATGTTAGGTAATAAATGTACTAAAACAAAAAATCATGATTCAATTTTTGAATCGACCATGTTGTACATTTCCTCCAGTCATGATGACCCAAAGTTTCTTAAAATGCCCACTTTATGTTGAGGTGCCTCGTTTTCCTCTGAGTTGTAAGTTCTTCCTGGGCTCAGTCTAGTCCGTATGGTTGGCTCGTACTTTACTTGATATTTCATCTAAAATCTTGATTCTTTTGCTACTATGACGCAATAGTCTTTACAAGGGGTATACTTTGGAAGCGAAAAGACTATCTTGTGTGGAAGCATAGCATATTTTTTTATTTATTTATCAAGAATGTTTCATTTTGATGACTTTTGTAGGCCTGGAAAAACTGTGGTCTCAATGGAGCTTTGCATTTGCCTCCGAAGAATCTCTACATACCAACTGACTTTTCATTGAAGTGCGAGTTGAATCCTGACCACGAGGATTGTACTTTGGGTCCACGAGTCATTGAAGAGGCTCCAGGAAGTCTTCTGTGGTTCAAACAGGATAGCAACTTCAAATTGCCAAAGTCCTTCATCTGCTTTAATTTAATCAGGTACAGAAATGCGTGTGTGTAGTTAGTTGCTATAACACCACACTTGTTTTAGTTGATGTGGTACGATTGTGGAACGCATTTCAAGTGGGTAGCATTTATAGTAGTCATGGAATTGTCACTTATACTAAACACAAGTGCTTATCTCAACGCGCATTCTTCAAGCACAGAGTTTGTTTACTTCATATTTCAGCCCAATTTTGTCGCAAGATCCAATTCGAGATTTGATGTTGGAGTTGTTTGGAGGCCTCTTCTTCGATTTTGTGAATGAAAATACCTATCAGTACTCCCTTGCTGGTCTCGATTTTGAGGTCCCAACTATACCACCTACTCTGCGGGTAAGTATTACGACTTTTTTAAGAAAAAAACGTTTTTTGGCATATGACAGTGGGAGATTAGTTTCATCTGTCAAGACGTAAAGTATTCCAATGAAGCTGCTGGGGGTGGGGGGGGGGGGGGGGGGGGGGGGGGAGGAGGGAGGTGATGGTAAACTTGAGGCAGGAGAATCAAATTAGTCTAATATCACTTGAATTTTGAATACCCACGGACTATCCATCTAGTCTCTGGAATGTGTTCATTGTCTTGGTGTTTGTCAATGCTGGTACAAATTTTTCCTCTACTTAGTGCCTATTCCTGACTGACTTTGGGGAGTGGACAGAAGTGCTATGTTTATAAATGTGTGAGGCGTACATAAAGATGGCAGATAGAAGTACTGGAAAAGAATGAACCAGGGATCAGGCAAAAGTGGAGAACAAAATTCATAAGGTCTATTGTATCTGAATTTATTTTATATTGGCATTTTACCCATAAAGGAGGTGGTTTAATTTTCGCTCCTCAATGTTGCCTCTTCCAAAGTCTGTACAAAATTACTTTAATTTCATCATCTTGACTCACTATATTCCGCCCTATGTGTGGAGACCAAAATGATCCATCACTTGTCACTTGTCGGACGACAGGTTCCCAACCAGTAGCTTCCTTCAAGCTAATACCTCCGAACCTCTTATGTATTTTGATATACTGCATTTAGGCTGATACACCCACACGTCATTGGATCAGTTTGATCAAAGCACAAAGAAGAAAAGAGAGTGCGAAGGTGGGGTGCGGGGGCGGGGGGCGGGGGGGATGGGGAGGGAGATGTACTGCGTTGACGTCAGTTGTCGATACGATAACTGTATTCCTTCGGGGGAATGTCTGCACTCTTGATGTGTGGTGGGGCTCATTTCAGCACAATGAAAGATGAGTCCTTGAAAAGTAAGGAATTATCTTCAGCACAGTGCAATAACACTGCTTTTGTGATTAGATCAACTCAAAATGTTTTTGGTATGCTTCTGCTTTCATGAGTAGTTGTAATCGGTAATTTTATTTATATCAAATGGCAGGCGTTTTGAGAGTTATCATTAGCCCTTTAGTTGACTTCAGGCTTCACAGAGGGGAGGAGGAACATCAAAGAGACAAAAAGTCGAGATGGGGGACAGAAGAGTGATTCACAGTTGTAAAAGAGACAGACGGACAAACACAAAGGCATAAAAAGGTAAGTTGAGTACTGTGTAAGGGGGCGAATATGACAAATAGTCGGGCCATAGTAGTTTGAAGTGAGACAGAAAGACATAAATGCATAAAAAAGGTAAGATGAGTTCTGTGGATGGGGCAATAGTCGGGCCATAGTAGTTTGAAGTCAGAAGTCAACTGCCGACTAATAGACTTTTTTGCCATATGAGTATACGTTGCCCAGGGCGCACAAATAGATTTTGCCGTATGAGTATACGTTACCCAGGGGGTCATGGTAGTTTGAAGTCAGAAGTCAACTGCCGGTTTTGGGGTGATGGCAATTTGAAGTCAGAAGTCAACTGCCAGTTTAGTGAGGTCATGGTGGTTTGAAGTCAGAAGTCAACTGCCAGTTAAAGTGATGGTAGTTTGAAGTCAGAAGTCAACTGCCGGTTTACGGACTTTTTGCCGTATGAGTATACGTTGCCCAGGGTGCACCGTATACGTTGCCCAGGGTGCACCTCGTGGAGGTAAGTCTATTGCGCACCCCTTGTAATCGGTAATTAAAATGCCTTATTCGATGAAATAGCTTTGCCTTGTAATTACATAAATTTTTGCTTGAAATGCAGCCTCTTTTTCACATACTAAAATTATTAGTATTTTTTTCGTAAATTACAAGTTGCCAAAATAAGTAAGCGAATTGAAGAGGGACTTATCCTTACTCAAACATTGACAGCTTACTGAACAAAGAAATAATCAAATTTTAAACTGAGTTTATAGAGCATTTTCGAAAATAATTATGCCAGTTTTTTTACTCGTATGCTACCAATTTGTTGGTGTTTAAAAGCTCATACAACCCAGAAGAATTATATGAACTGAACCCATACTAACATCAATGAACCAACTGGCTTTAGCGTTTCGAAGGTGTCTAAGAAACCAGCAGCTATTGAGATGCATCGTTCCTTAATGCCATTGGTCGATGATTCTTTATTGTCTCTTAAACTCTCTTCATCCTTCAAGTACACACTTTCAATTCAAATTTGACTTACATTTTGTCTCCTTTCGGCAACTATAGTTGATGTTTGCTGGCTACAGTCACAAGATGCCTCTTCTGGTCGAGAACACAGTGAATGCCTTGATGCAATTCACGAATCCCGACAAGGAACGCTTCGATGTGCTGCTGAGAAAATTGGAATTGAAGGTAAAGAACTTCACTTCCTATTCAGCCCTTGAACAAGCTGATCGCCATATGGTAACTGCGCTCTACGATCGCTCTTATCAGCATGAGGATCGAGTAGCCGCTGTGGAACGTAAGCGTTGTTCTTTCGATGCCAATTATTAACAGTGATTTGCTAAAATAGGTAGTTGCTTAACTACCTATGGCATTATTTTGGTATATTTTTCTTAAATAACCAATTCAATACTGATTGATGATTGCATTTAGTTCTACGGTACATTTATTGCAAGATACGTAGTTTTAAGGCATTTCTGTGAATATTCAAATTTAATTCATTTTAAGGGTGCTTCACTCTACTTTGTTGTAAGCAGATTTGGTTTTATATTACAAGTACCATTATCCTTCGCTCACCCCCTCACCCACCCCCACCCCCCAACCACCCAGAGATATCATCCCCACCCTCACTCAAGGGGCATGTGTACTAAAAACGATTTTTTCCCCAAGAAAGGGATGGCACTTTGATATTAGTCATCGATTTCTAAAGTCCTTTTAGTCATAAGTACTTAATTTAACCCCTGGAAAATTCCGCCATAAGCAAGTTCATTGTTAGTATTCCCATATACCCCATCAGTTAATTCAACTCTGAGGTCAGTATTCATTTTATTCATGTGCGCTTAGTTACTTACCGTCTTTATTAACTAAGTTAATGGCAAGTTTGATTGTGAGAGATCATTTCAAACGTTCATTCGGGCAGCATTAGTTGAGTAATTATCGAGCAAACCTAAATGCTCGCGAAGAATTTTTAAGTTATTTCAACATGGGCATAGCATTACGCGAAAATGGGCCTTGTATTTTGATTGAAACGCCTACTGTGTTGATCAGTTTCAGCACCAGATAACTACTCTGTCAACAATTCCAGATGTAATCTATCTTCACCTCCGTGTGTTGTTGGAAGTAAAGCTGGGGTATACTTCATCGTAGACCAGGAGGACCTGCTTATAATACTCAAAGTTCCTTCAATTTTGCAACTACGTCTCCCTGATAATAGCTCGAACCTTTGCTATGTAAATTTTACAAATCCTCCGCATTTCCAAGCTAACAATTATCACTCCTCTCCTGAGTGACTAGTGCTCTTTGCGAATACTTGGACCTCCTTAAGTCGAATACACTCCTGGAGTCTTATGGCCATCACCATTTTCTACCGTTGTCGTTGGTGCAATGCCACTGCCATTGACTTCTTTCTTCTCCTTCTAGAAATAACCTACGAAGATCTGTTGCAATTCATATCCACCGTCTTTAACAGTGTCTACGTTGAGACCCTAGTTTATGGAAATGAAGATACAGAAGTAAGTGTATTGAAGGTCTTTTTAATATGTCTCCATTTTGCCACGGATCAACATTACACACTCACACACACACACACTTCCCTATTGTAGAGTGCCCTCAAGTACAAGCAAATAATTATTGATGCTTTAAAGAAGTACACTAGATGGCGTCCGCCAGTGTCCTCCCCTACTCCATTCATGCGTGAGGTAGAAGTTCCCACAGGTTAGTCAATTGATATATGGTACTTTTTTATTAATTCTGGTATCCAATCCAATAGAGATAGCTTGAACAACCCCCCCCCCCCCACCGTGTGAAATCCGCAAAGAAATGCTGAAGGGGAAAGTTCCATGAATACGGGTGCCCTAAGCTGTTCGCCTTATCCCTAAGATATTTGTTCTGGTTATGCATTTGGGTGGAATACATGAAATTACCATGGTTGTCTGCGGGGGACACAACTTCTATAACTATGCCCTCGCAGTGATTGGAATGACCAATGATAATGGTTAAATTCGACCAATAAAAGGGGTCGCAGTGTTTAAATTTCTTGCCAGTGGCCACATGACGCTAAAATCTCGCTTCTTATCCAATGTGAGCGTTTGGAATACGAAATTGATTAAATGCGGTTCAAGTATAGACAACTCTCATTAATTTGAGTAAAAAGTCAACAGCTCATCACACCCTAAGCTGCTAATGTGTTGAATTTATTAATGGAGAGTTGTTTGTGGACCCTTTCCCCGTGTGTGATTGATTTTCTCGCATCGAATGAAAGGGTTTTGTCCAAATTTCCCATTTCAATATGGATTCAAGATTATAATGTAAGGTTTAGTTTGCAATATATTTTGTGGTAAAAAAATTATCCTCTGATGAAATGGAAATTTAGAAGAAATTGAAAGTGCTTTTATGTAGAATCCGATGTCTCTCTAAATCAACTTTTTCCCTTCTTTATAAGTTTTCGCTATGCATTCAGTCTATTTTACTTGAGACGTATATTGTCAAAATCACAGCCTGTCATGTCAAGTTTCAACAGTTCTGGCATAAATTAGCCAACGGAGGAAGACAGTGCTTTTATTTTGGTCGAAATCTGTCTTCATTTTATTTAAATATAAATTTTTAATGCATATTTACGTTAAATACTTTTGTCTTTTCTTAAATTTAAACTACCCGCGTTTAATAAGCAATTTTATTGGGAAAAGGCGTAGTGAACGCAACGCGAAATCGGCTACCTACCAATCACATGTAACGATCGTATGTGTGACCTAGGCCATCGCGATGGGTTGAACCCTGTTCCAGTTCATGATGACCTTAATACATATGCAAATGGGTTAGTAATATGCTGAGATTGCCCACATTCCCTTTGACCTTAATCACCAGACTTCTATGATTTAACACCAATATGCAATAAATCGATAAGTTCGGAATGGTTTTTTAGCGAAATAAATTTTCAGAATATGGGGTTGGGTTTTCCCTTCTGATTTGGGCGCGTGCTCATTGTCATTGTTAACGGTGGCATTACGGAAATGCATAAAAGTCATAGCATAATCCGAGAATATCCGAATTGGCGATTCCGACTTTGTGCACATTAGTTAAAGCACTGAGTTTCCCGTGTTTTCAAAAAAATAAAGACATAAATCATTTTGAAATATGAAAACATCTCAAGGCCCATTTTCATGACCTAATTCCTGCACCCGCTGTTTAGTTGTGCCTATGATTGACTCGTCTTCTTCGAGCCAAGAGTCGTTGAATATTTTTTATTTATATCAAATGGCAGGCGTTTTGATAGTTATCATTAGCCCTGTAGTTGACTTCAGGCTTCACAGAGGGGAGGAGGAACAACAAAGTGACAAAAGTCGAGGGGTGGGGAACAGAATAGTGATTCAAAGTTGTAAAAGAGACAGACAGACACAATGACAGAGAAAAGGTA